TATTTTAAAAGCTTGATGAAAAATGTATACATTGCATGTACCATCAGGTGATTGTATCATCAGTGAATGCTAAACAATAACATTTTCAGGTTGTTGTTATAATTTGGTCAGGCCCTACTAGACCAATCAAGCACAATCAAAAGGTTTGTGGCTGACACTGTAACAAGCGTAAGGTGAAAACAGCTTACAGGCTTTTGAATTTCAACAGCTTGGTTTCAGTACATAACAAAAAACTGGAAGAGTTTCAAAATATGTACTTACACATGTATAGATTATTATGAAGACATTTGTAAAGAACAGTAGATGTGCATGCCACCTACAAGTTTTGTACATGTACACACAAGTATGTGTAAGGCTAGGTTTAGTGTTTGCTGGTTAGAACATGGAGAAATAAAAATAGCTTAATAACTTTTGAAAAGAAGTTAGATGGACAATTTTCATTTCTTCAGGGTAGCTCTAGGTGATGGGGATGATGATGATTATTAATGCTAAAGTGGGCTAAAAAAAAAGTTTGAAGTTATATACCACCATGTTTCCTGTTTCATTATCGGGAAAGTGAACTGTAGAAATGATCTGTAGCCTGATCATTTAGGAGCCTCTTTTTAAGAATTATAATCCCAAAAATTTAGGTGCCTGACCCTTAGAAGTATAAGGCACCCTTGATTTGGGCACCTATGAAGAGTGATTCTGGGTTCTGCATCCAGGTTCTCTATTCAGAGAATGGGAAAATGTAGGCATCCTTGCAGGGGAATTTCTAGTGCACTTCTAGGTGACTGGATCCAGCCTGTGGATGCTCCTGCAGTGCTCTAAATGGGGCTGACCCCCACCCATTCCCCTCAGGGCAGCCTATATTTCGCTAGCTCCTGCACCTGCCAGCCTAGGCCCAGACCAGCGTGTGCAACTTCCATCAGGACTGTTCCCAGTATGGCTCCAGCTGGCCAGCTGCTGCTCTGCTTCCTTTGCCTCCAATGGCACCTCCTCCTCCCACTTCTGCCTCCGCTGCACTATGCTGAGCTGCCAGGTGGGAAGCTTCAGCCAGGCAGCCCCGCTGTATGTGAGTGGAGCACAGCAACATGTGGCTGGCTACAGCCACACCAGGAACAGCCCCACCAAAAGCTGCATGATGGCTGGGGCCAGGCAGGAGCTTAGTGTGGGCAGCAGTGTAGTGTGGGCTGCCGCAGAGCGGGCTCAGCCTTATGCAGAGTGCCAAAGATCCCACACACCCCCAAACGGCAGGATGTGGTATGTGCAGGGAGTGATTTGCAGCTCAGCCCAGTCCCCAGCCCTGAGCTGTCATTGCCCTCTGCCCAAGTCCCATGATCCCAGCCTTGCTTGCCCATCGTGGTCCCAAACACTGCTCTCCATCCACCCAAATCCTCATAGGGAGTTTTGGTGAGTTGTTGCATTGCGGGAGGTGGAGGAGGGGAGGGAGGGCAAGGCAGGTAATTGCTCACTCCTGGCCTAGAGCTAAGCAAAGGGAAACATTACAGAGATGTATCTGAACTCCTGAACCTCTCTGGAGTTTAGGTAAAACCTCGGGTTGCACATAAAGTGCTTTCATTTACTTGGGATCCAGAGCAACTCTTTCTTCTTCTAAAGACAGAGCTTTACCTGAGCATGGTGGTGATCCGGACACCATTCTGATTCTGCTTAAATATTCAAGAACACAACAGCTATGCAATTACCTACAAGGGCCCCGGGGAGGAAGTGGAGGGTGTGTAAAACATTTAATACAATTTTACAAAGTGACATCCTGCTCCTGATTCTAGTCTTGCTGGTTTACGCAAAACAAACCAAAAATGGAAAAGATCTTGGTCTGTTAAACTTTTTCAAACGTAAAACTTTATTTTGTTAATCTTTTAATTTCTAAATGACCTCAACATAGGTGGATAACATGTTTTTGCTTTGAAAATGTTTAAAATGTAGTTAAGTTTGCTTTAAATGCAATAACCGCATGCTGGTGTGATTAAAGATTTCATGGAAGTAGTAGAAGCACAATTATATACAGATTAAACAGCCACCATTGTCCATAAACATGCCTAATTTAGATCTGCTATTGCTCCAGTTGAAATAATTGGCAAAACTAAGGACTTTGTCAAAAAAATCAATTTTGTGTGTGCCTGTATATGTCTGTGGTGGCAAACAGAAAGAAGATAAAAAAGCCTGATTTCATAAGCTATGTATAACTAATCAAGATGTCTGCAGCCAGTTCTGTGTTACCCAAGATTAACTGAATTCATGCATTATTTACTTACTGCATCCTGGCCAAATTGTATAGATAGTTTCTGCTTTTATGGTTTTGTTTGTTTGCTGCATACCTTCTTTACATGGATTTTCTGTCACAGTTGTAGGGCAAAGACCCTTGAATCTTATTAATCAGACAGCTGGCCAAACTTTTGTGTTTTGAGCTTGATATCAGACAAAATTTTGCCTTCCTGCTGTGCAGAGAAAATGCTGGGAAAGAATGAAATCCCAAACACAGACTGCTTCCTGATTTTGATATTTCTACACTGTGCTTCTTTTCATGAAGGTAGACTGTCTATTTGCTGCCAGTTTGTAAAAGTAATATGAAATAGAGTTGTTTTATTAAGAAAAGAAGAAAAGCCAAATTGTTTTCCTTTCACCTAATACTTACATTCAACAATTTATTCATGCCTATGCCTTCTATCTAAACTGAAGTAAGGACTAAGTTCTGTGTTAACTTCCATCCTGTGGAAAATTATTACTCGTGTGTGTGTGGCAATTGCAGAATCAACTTGGGAGCTTTTATGTAATTGTATATAAATAAAAATTACAGGATTAGAAATACCTTCTTTTAAAATTACTTGCTTCAAATCAATTTCTTGGTCAAGAAAATCATTATTTAAAACATGGTAAATTATGAGATAATCCCCTCTCCAAAGTAAATATTTTGCTTGGTCCTACTGTTAAAAAATATTTATTTTTTATCTAGTAATTTCAATAGGTTTGTTTGATTTAGTTACTCGATTTGGCAATTATAATATTCCATTTTACAATATGACTTCATTTTTATGGAGTTCAAATGCCAAACACATGCCAATTTACAGCTTGTTAAACAAGCCACTTCTTTTATGTTTATAGGCTTTAATATAAAGTGAGCTATTTACTTGATTTTTCATTCTTCATTGGTTTGGTAACAGCCTAATTAATTTGTCAGACAGGCAGTAATGCAAAGTATCGTATGGTAGTAAAATGTTGCTATTTCTAAATTAATGCAGACAAGATGTGGTACCGTGTGAAGCAGAAGTGTCTGTCCTGGGGATATCTGCAAGGGCGAGCATGCACAGCAATCTCTGGTCCCATCCAGTTTGGAGTGAAACAGGACCCATATTTTTAGGTGGTTTGCCTTATCACTATGTAACCAAACAGGTATGTATATTTTTAAGAGTACTGTACCATATTGTCTTGTGTGGAGTAAATACGTGCATAGAATAAATGTTGTATTTCTATTTGTAATTATGATAGACTGTTTACAACAGAATGCTGATGACCCATTCTGTCATAAATTGGCAATATTCTTGAAATCTAAGAAGTTATTGTTAGGAAGTATAGATTTAGGGTTGAGAAACATTCATACAAATATGGCACAAAAAACAGAAACCCCAAACAACCACTCATGTGCTTATATTATTATTATCAGCTAGGGGTGCACAATAGAGATTTTGGGAGTCGATAGTGATATCCATTTTTTTAAGGAGGCATATTAGCTGATACCAATCCTATTTCTGATATACAGCTCAGCAGTTTGAAGAGCAGTGTCCTACTGGTAAGTCTGTTGTGGTGGAAGGGGAGGGGGAAAGGAAGGGGCGTGGGGGAGGGGTGCAGATCAAGGCCCCTGTGGTTAGGGAGGGAGTGGGGCTGGGGCTGGGGCAGGCGCTGCCCAGCCAGGGTGAGGCAGGGCACAGGATAGAGCTGCAGCTTGTCCAGGGGGCATGAGGATGGGTGGTGGGCAGACAACTCCCACTGTTGTCTGCACCCTGGGAAGGCATGGGAGGTATGTGCCCCTGGGTCTGTGTGCAGGGCAAGGTGGGCTGTGGCCGGGGCTGCACCATTCTCTTCCTATCTGGGTCTGGGCCAGGCTGCGCTTGGGGCAGGCAGCAGCAGCACTAAGAGAGAGGGTATGGGGGAGATACAGCCACCCCAAAATTCACTGCAGCCTCCCCAACTCCCACTCCCAATGCCACTGCCTGAGTGCAGCCTGGCCCAAGTCCCACCAGGAAGAGCCTGATGCAGCCCTGGCCCCAGCCTACAGTGGCAGCCCTCCCTGCCCTGTGCAGATCTGGGGGCATATGGCCCCCATGCCTTCCCAGGGTGCATGCAGTGGTGGAAACTGTCCCCCTCCCTGCACCCCCGGACAAGCTGTGGCTCCATCTTGTGCCCCACCCCACCCCAACCCAGCTGTGCAGAACCTGCTCCAGCCCTAGCCCCACTCCCTCCCTTACTGCAGGAGCCTTGATTTGCCCCCCCCCCCAACTCTTTCTTCCCCCTTCCTCTTCCACCACAACAGATTTACCAGGTGGATGCAGCTCTCTAAGCTGCTGGGCTGTGCTCCTCACTACCTACATGGCTGAGCACATGCATGGGGAATTTTTCAGCAACATTATTGGCCATACCAGGCAAAAAAATCAGTTTCCAATACAGTCAATTTTCTTTATATCAGTGCTGCTCTGATATTAGACCAATGTATCACTGCACCTCTATTAACAGTTTCTGACTTAAGAATGTATATTTCTCTTGAAGTGGAAAATTGTTTTCCAGTGATTTTATTTTCTAAATGAAATTACAAAATGTTCATCAAATGTTGTTTATCTTCATTTGGAGCAAAAGACCATTATGGCTGCACTTATTTAACTTCCTCTTTATCCAAATGTTGTTCATTCAAACTGATCACTCATTCTACTTGGTTGTTGATTACATCTTGATTACATATCAAATTGTATTTAAAATAGCAATACATCTTTAATAGATATTTTGTAGCAATAAATAATTAACAAACTTTTTTTAAAAAATTGAAATTAATAAAAAAAAACAAAAACCCACACACAGGCATTTCACATGCCCCAAAGAATGTAGAGTGGGAAACTAAACAATCTGAGTCTATTTAGTTTATCTAGAAAAGGTTAGTTACAAAGTAACTTGTTCATATTTTATATTCAAGTGCCTATAGACAAGGGAGACTTACATGATTACAGGACCCTTTAATGTATGTGAAAAAGGCATAATGAGATGCTACAACCAGAATGCAAGCCAAGATATATTTCGATTAGAAATAAGGCACTTTCAGTAAGGGTACTTGGTCAGTTTGCCTAGGATGGACATGGTGGAATATCCATTTATTTGCATTCTTCAAATGAAGATTAACTATGTTTCTTAAGAAGTGTTTGAGCTCATTATGGCTTGATGATGGAATTTGTGAGGGAAATTGTATAACCTGTTTTATGCAGGAGATCCAGTTAGCATACCATAATGACCTTAATCTATTATTCTATTAATTTCTGGGAACATCATTTGTAAAGCCAGATTTTTCTGGTAACAGGATGCAGTATAACTCCTGGAAGAGCTACTGGTAGCAATCGATTCTTAGATTCCAAGGGCCCAGTGATGTTTCATTAGTTAGGTGCCTTGGTGGAATTTTTCTTCATGTCTCCAAGTGACAGCTTTCTAGCCATATAAATGGATTTTTGGCACGTGCAAATAGTGATTCTGCTTCCCTTTCAGTGTGGATGCATAGACTAGGCATGTTCAGTAGGCTTTAAACTGGTTAGGCAGATGTATAGCTATATATATGTGCCCACCTTGAGCACCTACATCAAAAAAAAATTGCTGCCCAGAAACTGTAACTAACCACTATAGACCTGGTTAGCAGTGTTCATTTGAAATTAGGAAGAAGGAAGAACAAGGTGGCTTCTTAGGCTGCCTATAGATGTGCTTGTTCTCATTCTAATTAGAATAGAGTCTGGTCTGAATCATTCTAATTAAAACTCTCAAGCACTACCTTAATACATCACATGTATTAAGCCCTTCCACGTTTTAAAAAGTCTACAGGGCTGCTTTAACTAAGGCTTGTCAAGTAAGCTTTAGTTAAAGTGTCGCCTGTAGCCTTTTTAAAATGTGGGGTCTTAATACATGTGACAGTGAGCCACTTTAGAGGGACTGTTGGGGAAACTCTCTAATAAAAATGCCCCCCACCCCCAAGCATGTATATAGGCACCCTTAGAGACTACCTGGTCAGAGAGGCACAAGCTTGTGTAGGTGACAGCCTACTTCATCTGATGCTAAGCACTGATAAATGAGGGCAGCTTTCCTATGTTTTAGCCTGAATATTTGAGTGCTTATGAAATTCATCCAAGATGGAAGAGACCTGGTGTGGCAAAGTGGGGCTCCCCGCCTAGCCACAGTGCTAGGTTCCCCACTTGCCTTTGGGCATGCCACCCACCTGACTTTCCTGCCACAGCTTGTTCTTAATTAATTAACTATCTTAATTAAGGTGGGAGGCTGCCCATTTTATGCCCTAATGCCAAAGGGCGCTATCTGTGGCTCCATACCTCCCCTACACCGTAGCCCATGCCTCGCAGATGGCATCTAGATGTTACCATGCTCCCGGCTTACCACCAGAGCAAGCTTAGGCCATGCTGTCAGGCCTCAGTCTCACGCACATTCATACCACTCACCTCTCACTCAGGCCTCACACACTCCACCCTCTCTCACAGGGTCTCTTTCATCCATCAGCAACTTATTCTGCCTTACTCCCTCTTGCAGCGGGCCCCTTAGGCCATAGGCTTAGCTAGTCCATTCCTTGGATGGCAGACGTACCATCTTTTGGGTCTCTCCTGTGACCCTTACTGGGATAGTGGCCAGCCAATTACCTGACCAGGTCTAAGCTTACTCTGACCCCTTCCGGGGGCAATTCTATGCGTATATAAAACATACTGGGCCCTCAGCCCTCTGGTTCTTCTCCCCCTTTACTAGGGCTCCTCATCTCTGCCCCCTCACTGGGGCTCCACATGACCCCCTTCACTCGGGGCTTGATTCTTCTCCCCCACACAGGGGTACTTCATCTCCACCACCTTTCTGGGGCTACCCCTCACTCAGGTCCTCATTTCCACCCCTCACTGGGGCTCTACACCACCCCCTCACTTAGGGCCATGGGACTTCACTCCCCAGTGGGCTCAGGTGACCGTAGCTGTGCCTGGCCCCACACTCTCCCTCCTTGGGGTCTAGAACCCTCAGGACTCAGGTGGCCACAGCCATGCCTGATACCCACTACCTCCGATGTTACACAAACCCACCCAAAGGTGAGGGCTAGCGTTAAGGCACCCCACCTGCCTTTCACCAGGGTGATAACTTGCCTGGCATTTCCTGGGGACTCCCACACCACTGAGAGTCCCACCAGACCACCCACTTCCAGCAAGGTGCAGTTTTATGTCATGCCCAGGACCAGGAGCCTCCAGACCATCCCCTACAGCTCCTCCCTTATCTCCAGGATGATACATAGAGCCTCCCAGCCAGGCAATGTTACTGCCTTCCAAGCCAGCAGGGAACTGAGCTGTTTATATAGGCAGCCAGGGATCTAAAATGGCTGTCTCAATCAAGCACCTGCTGGCTGCTTGGCTGTGGTCTTAAAGTGGAAGGCGCCAACAATGCCCTGCCACACACCTTCCCCCTTTAAAAGGGTACATGGGGGATGTTCCCCCTGCTGCTCCTCCAAGCAGGCTCTGCTCAGAACCTGTGAGAACCCTAAAGTGGCAAGCACGCCAAAGGTGCTCTGCCACACACCTTGCCCCTCAGAATGAGATCGGGGGAGGAGGAGGGGTTCACCTGGCTGCCTTCTATGCTGGCCTACTGCAGCCCCTGCTACTTGATGAGCACTCCAAAGGTGCTCCACCCCACCTGGGTTCTAGTACCTTTTCCCAGAATAGGTTTGAATCTGTACCTGACTTCTTAGCATAGTGTTCTAGCTGCCATGTCACAGGTTAAGCATTATCTAGCTAGTCCCTTCTCCAGGATGTTTTTTGAGAGATACGAAATGAAAAAAATAAAATGTAGAATAGCTTGTTGAAATGGCCACTTGCCTGGAAAGTTGCAGGCTCTGGAGCTTTGCTTTCAGTAGAGAGCCTGCTTCCCACTCCACTGCTCTCTGTGATTTTATTTAGTAACCATGAAATGCAATGGGTTGTGGTTCAACTTCAAAAGGAATACTGGAGAAGGGTCTAGTTAATGCCTAACCTGGGTCTCCTACTTCCTGGGTGAGTACCCTAATCATTCAGCAACTGGGGCCAAAATTTGGGAAGGCAATTGCCCTGCTTTTTCCTGGGTGGATGCACGTATGTGCCCATCCAGTGCATAGTCAATTGGACATGTTTAGCCTA